GGACCGCCTGACCGTGGAGGGTCACCCGGGGCTGTGCCCCCCCGTGGAATCGGGCCACAGGTCCCTGCCACCCTCCCCTCGGCAGCGCCACGCCGCTCACACCCCTCCGCGGACCCCCAACATCGTCACCACCGTCACCCCGCCGGGCACCCCGCCCCTCCGCAGGAGGAACAAGCTGAAACCCCCCGGGACCCCTCCGCCCTCCTCACGAAAACTGATCCACCTCATCCCCGGCTTCACTGCCCTGCACCGGAGCAAGTCCCACGAGTTCCAGCTGGGGCATCGCGTGGACGAGGCGCACACCCCCAAGTAAGTGGGTGTGGGGGGGCCCAGGGTGCTGGTGGGGGGTGACAAAGCCCATCCTGGATCCTTTGGGAAAGTGCTTTGGATCTCAGCTGTCGGGGCATGGTGTGTTTTTGGGGGTTTTATTGAGTTTGGAGGTAGAAAAGCCCTTTGCAGCCCTAGCAGGCAGCTGGGGTGCTGGGGAAATCGTGTCCAATTTGCTCCCCTGGGACCTCCTGGGGATGGGGAGCACCCAGGGGCTCTGTTTGGCAAAGCCCCCGGGTGCCAGAGCGTGGCACGAGTGGGTTGGTGGCTGGTGGGGTTTTGCAGCTGCAGCGTGGGGATGCACAGTCCAGTCCTAAGAGCTGCGTGGGGGGGGTAAGAGCGAGATGGGAGGAATCATCTCCTGGCTGAAACGTGGGTATATGGATATCCAAAGCCTCATGGGTACAACACTTCACGTTGTAGCGAGCTCCCCAGTGTCCTTTCCATCCCTGGTGGTGGTTGTGGAGGCTCCTCGGTCTCACTCTGCCGTGGCTCCTTCTCCCTGCTCTTGCTCTGCAGCTCTGGTGCCGGCAGAGGCTGCTGCTGTGCAGGGAACGGGCTCCCCAGCACCACCACGCTCCCTTTCCATCTCCTCCAGGCCCCCTTGGTGGCCACGCTCAGAAAGCCCTTCTGCTGCCTCGGCGTGGGGTGCCAGAGAGGACCACCCTGGGGGCATCGTCTCCTCTCCCCGAGGATGCGTTGAGATGGAGTGTGGCCGGTCCTTGTTGGCCTCAGGACAAACTGCCCTCTTTGCCCACAAATTTGGGGGTCTCTTAAAAAAAAAAAAAGCCGTGCTGGGAACCTGGACAGAGACCACTGAGGGATGTGGTGGGAGCAGGGGAAAGTCCAGGGTGCCTTGGCACGGCAGTGCTTGGCACCAGAGGCAGAAGTGATGCTTGGTCAGCTCAGGCTGGGGCACATGAGGGGTTAAAATCTGCTGCCTGCTGCACATCCCTGGTGTCCCCCTGCTCAGGCAGGTGGAGATGGGAGGAGGTTTGGGGTGGCAGATGGATCGGGGGCCTCAGCATCGTGGGGTCACTTGTTTCCCTGTGGCAACCACTGGGCTGGGGTTGGTCGCTGCATGAACTGGGGGTGGTTGTCCTTCTCCCCTGGGCTGGGAGCTTTGGCTTCCTCAGGACTTTTTAGCTTTTGGAAATGAATTTATGTCAGCTGGATGATGCCTCCAGTGAGACTACCTTCCCCTGAGTGCTTAGACATCTCAAAGTTGTATTGACCTTGGTCCATGCCCAACGAGCATCCCCTTGACTGCAGGAGCCAAGCCTTGGTGACTCTCTTGGTGATTTGGTGCTTTTATTTCCAGCTCAGCATCAGATCCAAGCTCTGCTCCAGCTTGGAGCAGCTCTCACCAAAGGCAAAGCCTGCCTTGGTTTCTCCCAAGCTGTTGGATCCCCACTGTGGTCGTCCCACGTTCCAGGTCACCCTGACATGGCTCTGGGGGGAGGTTTGGACATGAAGGTCTGGATTTTACTCCAGCAAATTGATTCCATGAGCCAGCCAGGGGTGAGCTGCCTCCACTTGCCTAGGAGGGGAAGGGTGTGGAGGAGGAAATCCTGGACAGGGTTTGCATGAAGAAGGTCACATCTCCTCTTCCCTCAGTGCTTTCTGCCTTCCTTCAACCCAACCATGCCCAGTTTGCCCAGCTTCCCTGGTGCTCCCCTTCCCACTGGTGCTGGGCAACTTTAACTCATGGTTAGTGAATTAATAGAGGAAAGAGAGAGCCAGAATTAATTGGGGTCCTACTATTAATTGGGATGTGCTGGCATCCTACCGGGGTCCGTTACATCCACGCGGAAGGATCCAGGCTCCCAAAAGCTGCTCCCAGAACCAGGGAGGTTAATTTTCTCTAATGACACTTAATGATTTTTCAGGAGGCAACCACTAAATCCTGTTTGCTAATCCCATTAGTGTTTCGGGATGGTGGTGAGTGCATTAAAGAGGCAGCTTCTTCTTTCCCCCCTTTTCTTCAGCAGCAGCAGCACGTTGGGGTTTTTTAGCTCTTTATTAGCCTGGAAGGGGTGGCTGATGCAGAGAAAAAGAGACTTTTTGGGTCTGTTAGCAGCTAATTCTTGTTTCATGTCTGTGTCCAGGCAATGAGCACGTGTCGTAGGGTTGTTTGGCTTTTTTAATGTCATAATTTCTTGCCCAAGTCCTCTGTGCCCTCTGCAAGAGAGAGGTTTCCTTCTGACCTCAAACTTGAAATGGGGCTCAGCCTTTGAAAATTATTTCACACCTTCTCTGATTGGCTCCTCCTGGCTTTAGCTGTGCTGGTGGGATCTTGGTTTTCTTCTAGTTGTGACTTTCTGTTCCATGTATTGTGTCCCAGCATGGAAAGAGGTGCTACAGCAGGAGAGCTCATAGCCTGGGGACGATGCTGGGGACCCCAAGTGCTGAGTGGGATCTCCTGGGCTGATTTTTGGGGTTAGATTTGGGCTCTTTGCAGCCCACTCTCTGGTGGGACCCATCTGAAAGCTTCTCAGGAGAGAAGCTTGTACCTCTCAGGCCGATTTACCTCCTCACCTGATGTGTCCTGTCTCAGGATGGGGCAAATTGGGCTCTTGGGAGCCAGGGGTGCCCTTGGCAAAAGCAAAATAAACTCTCCCATCACTGAGCAGTGGGTCAGTATTGATGGAGGAAGGTGCTGGGGTGCTGTGGGGCTGCCCCTGCAGATTGTTCCTTCTCAGTGAAGGCACAAAATTAAAACCCCCCTCTAGATTTGGGAGAGCAGTAGCAGTGACCGGGTCCTCCCTGGGGCAAGGCCACCCCATAGCACTTGACTCTTGATGACAGCTTGTAAGTTTGTTTCAGAGCCTGTTTCTTGGGTTTAATCCACCACTTTTGTACACTAAGACCTTCTGAAGCAGGGGTTAATTTTTTGGAGCTCACAGCCTCAGATTTTCCTGCACGGAGCCTCCAGCTGTTGACCGTAACTCTGGGGTACGGAACATTACTCCTAAAAAGATCCCCTGGCTTCCATAAATCCACAATCCATAAACATCTCATGAGTGGTCTTGAAACGGAAACAAAACATTTAGAGTGCTTGATAATATAATGCCCATTTAATACCTCATGAATTCCAGGGGCCATTTAAATCTTTCATGGATAGTTAATGATTATTCATCAGCGAGAAGTCAGGACAAAAAAAACAAACTCTGATTGGAAGGTCTTAAAGATGCATTAGTTGGGGAAGAAAAGTCAAGGTAAAGAGCGAGCTCAAGTGTGTTAACCCTTGGAAGGCTGCACAGCAAAATAGTTCTCTGGGGGAAGTCCTGCCCTGGGGTGTCCCACTCCAAAGTGGTGGTTGAGTGGTTTTCATCCTCAGACCCTCGGAAAGGGGAGGTGAGTCCAAAGCCTCATCCAGTTCCCAGCTGTGGTTCCTTTTGCCACACTGGTGCCTGGCCAAATTTGTGAACTCCGTGGCCTTCAAAGAATAGCCTCCAGCAAGCAGCTGGGGAGGGAGGGTCTGAGCGTATTGCTGGTGAGTTAAAGCAGCGTGACCTGACAGAGCTGAGCCCTGGAGGAAAGGCTGAACTCTCCCAAGGGCTGATGTGAAGCAGCTGCTGGAGGGGACACGCAGTTTCATGGTGTACCTGGGTCAGGTTTGGGCTGGGAGGAGGCTCCTTTAGCTCAAGGCAGCTTTATTTGGGATAAGTTTTCAAGGAAGTCCCTTTATCCTTTATCCTTGCAATCTCATTCAAGGTGTGGATGCAGACAGGGTTTGGTGCTGTGGTGGAGGAGTCCAAACCCTTATGATAGTTGACTTCCTTGTCTTTAGCCTTGTTGGCATTGAGGTTGGTTGTTTTTTTGTGCCAGTTTTCAAAATCAGGATGAGGATATCCTGGATGGAAGAAGTCAGATGTGAAGCTCACATCTGATCTGGAGATAGAGCACACACCCATTTCCCTCTTTTCCTTTTCCCTTGTGTTATTGCCAGCTCTAACTCGATGCTTTCTCTGTTGTGGGTGTTTTTCTCCATCCCACGTAACAGAGAAACCCCTGAGAACAAGTGATCTCCTGAGACACTTGGCCAAGTCTAGCCTAGCATCCTACTTGGGGCATCTAGGCAAAGAGGTGAAAGACTGAGTCCTAGACCTGCAGAATCCTAGGACCAGAGGTCTTCTCCACCATCCCCACCATGCTGGGCAGCCTGTGGGTTAGGCTGAGTTAATCATCTCAGCTTAAATACTTCATCATCTAAGTTATAAATGCTAAATCATCTGAGTCTTCGATGCTGCTGAGTGATAGGTCATTTATTCTGCTGCTCTGCAACCTTTATAATAACGATGTTTTCCCTTGTATCAATTCCAATCAACGCTTCCACCAGGTAGATCAATTATTTGATATTCTGCGTGGGCTGGATGTGACAGAGCAGCATCGAGACAGCTCTTGTGCCTGGTATCTCTCTGACCTTTCCCAGGCTTGGAGAGGCAGGTGGGCTCTTGGTGTTGGGGATGAGCAAGAGATGGATGTTTGCAGAGCAGGTGGTTGCAGCAGGATACCACCACCATGTACAAATAATCCCTCTGCAGCATCTTCAGCCTCGTGTTATTCATCCTGTATGGTGTCCGAAAACATGGAGACCAGGCTGGTCCTTCTGCGAGGGGGAGAGCATTGAAGTTGAGGGGATTTGGAGAGCAAAAGGAGAGCATCTCTCCCTGGGTTTCCAAATAATCTTCCCGATTAATCTCGGTGCCTTTGGTGAGTCAGGGCTGTGGAGTTTTTTTGCACAGGTCCTGGATTGTCTCCAGCTTTCTCAAAGTATGGTCTGCACACCAGGACTTGACAGTGATGGGTAGCCTCCGTAACAAACTGGCTCTCTGCTGCAATTATCCCACTGCTCTGGGCTGTGGTTCTCCTTAGGTATGTCATTAATGTTAATTACTGCTGTGGTATTCCATCAAGAGGAGTTTTAACATGCTTGGAGGAGAAACTTTTCACCGTGTCCTTTAATGAGAAGCTGAGCC